GTGCACCATCATATAATGTGATATTTAGAATTTTAATTCAGGCAATTACTTAAGTAGTAATTGCTATTTGTATTTACATAGCTGCTTTGATCCAAGAAGCTCAAAGGGCTTTACTAAATTTCGCATTTTAATAAATGTTTCATTTGCATTCTGTTGATTCTGTTTACCCACACCAAAACTTGGAATTTCCTAAAGCTAGACAGTCAGACAAGTTCAGGAAACAAAACAGTTATCTGTGCGATTACAAGGATCCCAGGTCTGAATTTTGTCCCGTTACCTAAGAAGTAAAGACTCTCCGCTGCCAGGGACTAACAGGACTGTAGGAAGCTCCTCACTGCACCTGCCATCTCTCATAGTCACCCCAAATCTCCCATCTACGGACTGTGACTCTCTCAGGCACTGATGGCAGGGTATGTCGAGTGCCCCAGAGAATTTATATACCATCAGCACAATAAACACTATGAAATTGTCGGGAGAAAATCAAAGCGAGATGCACAGTGTCAGTACTGAATTCTAATGATGCTGAATGTCCACAGCTGCATGGGGACAGGAGCTTAGCAAGGCCTGATCTGAGCGCTGGCACCTGCCTCACAAATCACACGGGCCGGGCCGCTCCTCCCGTGACAGTGCTGAATATTGATACCCGTCTCTACCCTGCTCAACAGGGAAGTGGGTTTCTATTGGCAATCTTTCCCAAAGTGTGTTTTTTCCCTTCTCTACACTCAAGGGTTTACCCTGAATGATTTAATTATAATTTTCCTTGTGTAAGACAAATTAAAGAGGAGAGTAGGAGTGTCGTGCCAAGCACATTATTTATCTCCTTAACAGATTGCAGCTCACCAAACCCCAGAGCTGCTGCTGCGGCGGCTGCTCACAGGAGCCAGCAAAATGCATCGGGGCAAGAGCGGGGAGAGGGAGTTTTCCAAATGGCCTGGAAATATGCAACGCAGCGGAGATCATTAGACGTCTCCCTACTTCTGAAACAAACAAAAACTCTCATCCCACTACCTTCTTCCAACAAACGTTCACAAAAAGCACTCCCAGCTCAGTTCAGAAAGAATGCTCAAGGCTGCAAGCCCAAGACCACGTGAGTGGGGCTAGATTGTCATTCAGTGTGACAGGGCTCCTGTGTGTTTAGACAGTGTTCCATGAGAACGGGGGGGGGGGGGGGGGGGAAAGAGGGGGGTGGGGGGGGAAGAACAGCACACGGAAATCGAGGGAGAGCTTGGGAGGACATAGATTCTGCAAACGGGCTTGTGATGAAAGGATGAAACTTCTCCAAGGCAGAGACAAGGAACTCCTGAGATCATCCACAGTTCAGAGTACAATGAGCACTTATTTTTGTAGTGATGGCTTTATCTGAACCATTTTCTATCACTTAAACTGGTTATCACAGGTTGATTTTTAAATTAATCCTAAGGTAATGCTACGTAATATTCATTTAAAGTGGTATGTGTACACAAAGCTAGCTAACTAATAACAACGGAGTTTTTGACTTTTTGCTATAGGGTGTGTGCACACGCCAGAGAGAAAATGAAGAGGTAAAGTGAGAAATCACCCCCTGGGGAGATGGCCATGCCACAGCTCTTTCTCCTCCATTCTCCTCTCAGAATTTTGGGCACGCATATATGCACCCAGTGTATTTTCCAAGCCGCCAGGTCTGGACTTGAATTACATACACAGCCATGTGGGATCCAGCTGCTTTAATCACCACGCCATCTGGCAGGCCCCTAAAGACTGATTTTTTTTTTTTTAAATGATCAATTCTATAAGCGTAAACTTATGGAATTATCTTTCACTTAAGGTGTTTGTCTGGTTAGCTCCATTCAGTTAAAATGTGCTGACTAGAATTTTCTTTTACTTGAGCCACATCTAGGAACCTATCAGATGAAGTAAACTGACAGATTCAGGAGATTAAGTGGCAGCATGTAATTTCAGAGTTGCCTCCATTTGCTCTGGAAAACTCGGCTTGTTTTTGCATCCAGATTAAGACTTACTGAACTGTGAATTCTTTTCTGGTCCATATTCTAATTTTGGCATGTATCATAATGAAGATTAAGCACAACTCTGGTGCAGACAAATAAAGACCATAACAAATTTCAAACAAACATAGTCTCTTCGAATTAGACCGTCTCTTAGATCCATTTACTTTCAAATGTGCCTTAAGACATGAAAAGGTCTTTTCTTCTCCTACTTGTTCCTAGCTGATCTGTCACCTGACTGCAGATATATAACCTTTTAGGAGAAAACTGAGCGCAGCACATCTAAACAAGAGGAGTTTTCTGTGTCACAGGAAATCTGTGCAGGCTCCACACAGCCGACAAGATTGCAACAAATACCTTAAGTGCATCAGTTGGCATTTTTCAGTGTACGGCCTCCCGCTCTGCCTATGGATAAAGATGTAATTCAACCACTCTGCAGTAAATGCATGGGATCAACCTCCAGACATCAGAAGCCAAGCACAGCAAAAGATGACAGCCTAGAACCTTTTCTTCAAAGCTATTTAAGGTTTTCTATTTCAGAATAAAATAAAATAAAATTAAGATACTATAGGAGATTATAAAGGAAGAGCTATGACTTGCTTCTGGACACGTACACCTGTACTTGCTAGCAACAACAGAGAGTGTATTTTAGTGCATTTTGCCCAGTGACTCCAAACTGATTCCTGCCATCCACCATCCTAGTCTTCAAACTCTTCTAAATCATTAAGTTTTCATTTTTGTTTTTAAGTTTGCTATAGGGTATATAGGCTTGCCAGAGAGAGAGAGAGAGAGAGAGAGAGAGAGAAAGAGAAAGCCCACCCCCTGGGGGGATGACCATGTCACAATCCCTTCTACTCCATTGTGTTCTCAGGATTTGGGGTACACATGCACAAGTGTTTGCATGTTTTTCAAGTCACTGGGTCCAGGACTCAAACCACAGAGTTGACCATGTGAGATCCAACTGCGTTAACCACCATGCCACCAGCTGGCCCACCATTAAATTTAAAGATCTTTTAGTTCTTCGATGTCTACCATAGAAATTCAGAAATGATCTTCAAAGGATAGTTGCAAATTTTAGATAAAATGTACATATTCTCATTTCTGATAGCTTCTCATGCTTTTTAATGCTTGAACATGATACATATACATATATCTGTATATCTGTGTATATATACATATACAGATATATGTATGCATGTGCAAGATGTATATAAGGTGACCTCAAAATGTTTGCAAAAAATAGAATTAAAGTACAAGTTTACCATGGTACAAAAAAATAAATTCTGTGCCATTTTTTTTGTTCCTAATAAACATTTTCCATGGACTTTTTGAAGATCCTCTCTTATTTCAGGTTTTTTCCCCATATAAACATCTAATTAAACCAGTAAGCTTCTTAACACTCAATGTTTTGAGAAATACATGAAATTATGTATTGTAATTGTTTAACTGAAATTTATCATTTAAAATTTTTGGAGTTATTATTATTTTTTTTTTTAAAAAAGGAAATACCTTTTTTTTTCCCTATAGAAACAGCATTTACCTTCATAGTCATGTACTAATGGGTCATTGGAAAAGTCGTGACATAGTTTTTTTCTTTTTTTTTTTTTCAAGAATTATTTTGTATTGATTTATTTAAATGTGACTAGGGGAGGAAGGGAAAAGAAGGGAGGGAGGGAGGAAGAGAGAAAGCGAAAAAGCAAGCCAACAGGTCTGGGACTCGAACAGCGACTGGCCATGCCAGAGTCCAGCGCCTTTAACCACGCCACCTGCTGGCCCCATAACATAGTTTTTCTATGCAAAAATATGTTATGACTTTTTTGATAACCCAAAACTTTTTTCCCCTACTTTTTAAGGTTTTGCCATAGGGTGCATGTGCTCGTCAAAGAGAGACTGAGAGAAGGGAAGTGAGAAATCCTCCCCCTGGGGGGATGGCCACGTCACAATCCCTTTTCCTCTGTTCCCCTCTCAGGAACTTGGACACACACACATGCACTCAGCCTGACTTTATAGCTGCTGGGTCTGGGTATCGAACTGTGGTGGACCATGTGGGAGTCTAGTGCCTCAACCAACTGTGGCTGGCCCCACAGACTTTTAATCTCTCTTTCCATGTATGTATGGAAGCTCGGCTATGAAATACACAGGAAACAGTTTAAAACAGCAAAGGGAAAAGCTTCCCACTTTATAAGTATTATAAGTCCATTTTTAAAGTGCATTTCGGCATCAGTATTAAGGCTCCTGGGTGCTAAGACAAGAGCATATGGATTAATGACCCATTTTCTTAGACTTCATGCTAACATGACATAGGTAAAGCTCAAGGCACTTAAAAAATATTTTAAGTCTTAATTTTCAAATATGGATACAACACTTGAGTGAAGGCTCCACCACATCCCATGATGAGGAGAGTGTGCTGTGGGTATCTGTGTGTGTATACACAACGGACCCCTCCCATCTCTCCATCCTTCGAAACTTCCTTCACTGAGCACCTCTACGGAAAATGCCACTGATGCTGGGAAACAGCCATTAATAATGGGGAGGCTGGAGGGGGGGGGATGGCTCTCTGCCCTCAAAGGGGACAGAGGGAAAAAAGCAAACTCTGTGTCTCCTCAAACCGTGAATCAGAATTGCCAATAGCAGGCACTACTATTCCCTCCGAAGGTGCTTAGCGCCAAGGAATTGAGCTTGTATGGAGTGAGCCCTTGGCAGGAAGAGCG